AAATCGCCAGGAAATCTCCCCAAAATCGCCACGAAATCTTCCTAAAACTACTATGAAATCTTCCTAAAACTACTATGAAATCTTCCTAAAACTACTATGAAATCTTCCTAAAACTACTATGAAATCTCCCCAAAATCGCTACGAATTCTCCCTAAAATCACTGTGAAATCTCCCTAAAATGACTGTGAAATCTCCCCTGCGAAAAATCCCCTATTATTATTAATAATAATCCCTATTAATGCCCGATTACTATAACCACTTGTATCCCACATTAAAATCAGATTCTGATCACCGAGCCAGCCTCCCCTCTGCTCCTCACAGAGGCTGGTCTGTGCCAGGGCTGCAGGGCCCTGTATCCCCGGGGCTGTTTGTCCCAGCTGTCCCCTCCCCGCTCCCCCTGGAGGTCACAGCGGTGTCCCAGCGGTGTCCCAGCAGGGACAGGAGCCACTCACGTTGCTGATCTGATCCTGAGTCTTCTTGATCCTCTGCAGCTCGGGGGTGTCGGCCACCACGCTGAATCCCTTCCCTTTGTTCTTCTCGAACTCCTCCTTGTAGCGGATCTGGGGGCGGCAGAAAACGGCTTGGAGACGGGGACAGAGGAGGGGACAGGGCACAGCTGGGCCTGCCCAGCCCCTGGCTGGGATCCTGGGCTGAGACCCAGGGGAGCAGCTCCTGCCCAGCCCAGGGGCAGCCCCTGAGCATCCCTGAATATTCCTGAGCATCTCTCAACATTCCTGAGCATCCCTGAACATTCCCAGTGAATTCCTGAGCATCCCTGAACATCCCTGAGCATCTCTCAACATCCCTGAGCATCCCTGAACATTCCCAGTGAATTCCTGAGCATCCCTGTCCATCCCTGAGCATCTCAGTGCATCCTTGAGCATCCCAATGCATTCCTCAACATCCCTGAGTCTCTCTGAACATCCCAGTGCATCCCTGAACATCCCAGTGCATCTCTGCACATCCCAATTCATCCCTGCAAGTCCCTGAGCATCCCAGTGCATTCATGAGCATCCCCAGTGAATTCCTGAGCATCCCCAGTGAATTCCTGAGCATCCCTGTCCATCCCTGAGCATCTCAGTGCATCCTTGAGCATCCCAATGCATTCCTCAATATTCCTGAGCCTCCTTGAGCATCCCCATGCATCCCTGAGCATCCCAGTACATCTCTGCACATCCCAATTCAACCCTGCAAGTCCCTGAGCATCCCAGTGCATCCCTCAACATTCCTGAGCCTCCTTGAGCATCCCCATGCATCCCTGAGCCTCTCTGAACATTCCCAGTGAATTTCTGAGCATACCTGTCCACCCCTGAGCATCCCAATGCATTCCTCAACATTCCGGAGCCTCCCTGAACATTCCCAGTGAATTCCTGACCCTCTCTGTCCATCCCTGAGCATCTCAGTGCATCCTTGAGCATCCCAATGCATTCCTCAACATTCCTGAGCCTCCTTGAGCATCCCCGTGCACCCCTGAGCCTCTCTGAACATTCCCAGTGCATCCCTGAGCATCCCAGTACATCTCTGCACATCCCAATTCATCCCTGCAGGTCCCTGAGCATCCCAGTGCCTCCCAGTGCATCCCTGAGCCTCTCTGAACATCCCCAGTGAATTCCTGAGCATCCCAGTGCATCCCTGAACCTCCTTGAGCATCCCTGATCATCCCAGTGCATCTCTGCACATCCCTGAACATTCCTGAACATCCCAGTGCATCTCTGAGCATCCCTGATCCTCCCTGAGCCTCCCAGTGCACCCCTGAACATTCCTGAGCATCCCCAGTGAATCTCTGCACATCCCTGAGCATTCCTGTGCATTCCTGAACATCCCTGCACATCCCTGAGCATCCCTAAATATCCCAGTGCATCCCTGCACACCCCTGAGCATCCCTAAACATCCCTGCACATCCCTTAGAATTCCCTGAGGCAGGAAAAACAAGGAATCACTGAGNAAATCGCCAGGAAATCTCCCCAAAATCGCCACGAAATCTTCCTAAAACTACTATGAAATCTTCCTAAAACTACTATGAAATCTTCCTAAAACTACTATGAAATCTTCCTAAAACTACTATGAAATCTCCCCAAAATCGCTACGAATTCTCCCTAAAATCACTGTGAAATCTCCCTAAAATGACTGTGAAATCTCCCCTGCGAAAAATCCCCTATTATTATTAATAATAATCCCTATTAATGCCCGATTACTATAACCACTTGTATCCCACATTAAAATCAGATTCTGATCACCGAGCCAGCCTCCCCTCTGCTCCTCACAGAGGCTGGTCTGTGCCAGGGCTGCAGGGCCCTGTATCCCCGGGGCTGTTTGTCCCAGCTGTCCCCTCCCCGCTCCCCCTGGAGGTCACAGCGGTGTCCCAGCGGTGTCCCAGCAGGGACAGGAGCCACTCACGTTGCTGATCTGATCCTGAGTCTTCTTGATCCTCTGCAGCTCGGGGGTGTCGGCCACCACGCTGAATCCCTTCCCTTTGTTCTTCTCGAACTCCTCCTTGTAGCGGATCTGGGGGCGGCAGAAAACGGCTTGGAGACGGGGACAGAGGAGGGGACAGGGCACAGCTGGGCCTGCCCAGCCCCTGGCTGGGATCCTGGGCTGAGACCCAGGGGAGCAGCTCCTGCCCAGCCCAGGGGCACCCCCTGAGCATCCCTGAGCATCCCTGAGCCTCCCAATGCATTCCTGAGCATCCCTGAATATTCCTGAGCATCTCTCAACATTCCTGAGCATCCCTGAACATCCCAGTGAATTCCTGAGCATCCCTGTCCATCCCTGAGCATCCCAGTGCATCCTTGAGCATCCCAATGCATTCCTCAACATCCCTGAGTCTCTCTGAACATCCCCATGAATCCCTGAGCATCCCAATTCATCCCTGCAGGTCCCAGTGCATCCCAGTGCCTCCCTGAGCCTCTCTGAACGTTCCCAGTGAATTCCTGAACATCCCTGTCCATCCCTGAGCATCTCAGTGCATCCTTGAGCATCCCAATGCATTCCTCAACATTCCTGAGCCTCCCTGAACATCCCCATGCATCCCTGAGCATCCCAGTACATCTCTGCACATCCCAATTCATCCCTGCAAGTCCCTGAGCATCCCAGTACATCCCTGAGCCTCTCTGAACATCCCCAGTGAATTCCTGAGAATCCCTGTCCATCCCTGAGCATCCCAGTGCATCCCCAGTGAATTCCTGAGCATCCCAGTGCATCCTTGAGCATCTCAGAGCATCCCAATTCATCCCTGAGCATCCCAGTGCATCCCTGTCCATCCCTGAGCATCTCAGTGCATCCTTGAGCATCCCAATGCATTCCTCAACATTCCTGAGCCTCCTTGAGCCTCCCCATGCATCCCTGAGCCTCTCTGAACATTCCCAGTGAATTCCTGAGCGTCTCAGTGCATTCCTGGGCATCCCTGAGCATCCTAGTACATCTCTGCACATTCCCATGCATCCCTGCACATCCCTGAGCATTCCTGAACGTGCCCAGTGAATTCCTGAGCATTCCTGCACATCCCTGAGCATCCCAGTGCACCCCTGAACATTCCTGAGCATCCCCAGTGAATCTCTGCACATCCCTGAGCATTCCTGTGCATTCCTGAACATCCCTGCACATCCCTGAGCATCCCTAAATATCCCAGTGCATCCCTGCACACCCCTGAGCATCCCTAAACATCCCTGCACATCCCTTAGAATTCCCTGAGGCAGGAAAAACAAGGAATCACTGAGTTCTTGCCAATCCCAAGGGAGGGCAGATGCTCTGATAAATCCCCTGATTTTACCCTCCTAAATCCCACCCTGCTCCATCTCCTTTGGTTTTTCACCCTGCTGTTGTTCAGGACACAGGAATTCAGCCCTAAAAAACCACCTGGCAGCACCCCCATGATGATGACGATGAGAATAATTTAACAAATTAATTAACCCCACAATTAATTTTCCTCGGGGGGAGCTGCTCCCTCCATGCCGTGACTCCGAGTGCATCCATTGGTTACCAAAGGGAGCCAGAAAAAAAAAACCTTCAGAAAACCCTTCACACATCCAACCCTCCCATTTCTGTCACCAGCACTGAGGTGACACTGGGTCAGGACAGGAGTGGCACTGCCACCCCCACACGGGACCCTCGGGCAGGAAGGGCTGTGCCCAAATTCCCCGCAGGAAAAGCTCAGAAAAGGAGCCCCAGGATGGGAACCTGCAATTTCCCTGCCACACGTGGGCTGGGAGAAGCAGCCTGTGGGCACCAGGGTGGCACTTTGGGGACACTTTTGGCCTGGCAGGACATCATTATGCTGCAGCTTCCCGTGAGCGGAACGGGAGGCGCCTCCTCGGGGACACAAATAGAGGGGACAGAGGAGTGACATGAAATCACTGTGGCCTGGCCCTGCCACC